CCAGCATTCAACAAATCACCTGTTGCGCTCATTGTCCATTGCCCAAGGCTCTAATTAAAGTCTGCCCTGCTCATAGCCAACTTTTTGCGTTACTTTCGCAAAAGTTTGGTCGCCTGCGGGTCTAAGCTGCTTGGACAAACTTTGATTTTGTGCCCAAATGACAGTTGGGCTATAGGTGGAATAAAATAAATTACATAATCCACTTCGCTGGCATTTGTCAAAGCCAAAGTCAAAGGAAAGTAGCTCCTAAGACGTTATATTCAATACGACATTTTGTTTGATGCATGGCGAAATACGTCAATTAAAGGTGTCGAGGTTCAGGTTGTCTTTAAGCGCTGTCAATAGATGCGAGAATAACTTATAAATGCTGTGCTAGTGGTAAATATTAGCAAAGAACTTCTTTTATATTCAAGATGCTCTTTAAATAATCGAAAAATGATTTTATGGCGAAGCCCTGGATAATAATGTTGATCCAAACATCAAAGCCTTAAAGCGAGTCTTATGTTTGACTAAATCTAAGGCAGTGAAATATGTTGATCCTATTCACTTGAGAGTAAGTGCATTGAAGTTTTGTTAGCAAACTTTAGTCAACTAGAGGCAAATCAAGTTGCGAGACTTGCTAAAGTGAAGCTGTCGCGCCAACGATAATAAAATGTTGCAACTAGCTAAAGTTCCGTGCAAGTGACTAGGGATTGACACAAGGAGAATCTGCCTACAATCCTATAAACATACACAAATTTATATGTATGTATATATATATATATATATATATATATATATATATATATATATGTATATGTATATGCACACAAACTAATACATATGTAGGTATATGTGTGTACACAGAAGCTGTCTGCCTTCGGACGGTCTCCCATTGTTGCGCTAATGACACTTTTATAACTTTTTATAGATTTTTCACACTTAATGTGAACTTGTGCCATTTATCGTGGCATCCCCGACAGCGACAACAATCCTTTTTGTAAGCAACGCCAGCGATGCGTCGCCTATTTCGTCCTTTTCTATGGTTTGCTTCCTTTTTGCAAACTTATTTACGAGAATGTGCGGAAGATGCTGCCGGATTTGCACAGGCCCAGTTCAGCAAACATTATGCTACATGCGAATAGATATATAAGTATATGGTATGTATGCATATGTGTGCGTGTGAGTGTGCGTGTGTCTCCCGCAGTTGTTGCTCCTGTTTGCCAGCTGGGCTGCATTGGGGCTGGGAGGCGGCGCTTATGCGCAACGCGACGCATACGAAACAGGGCCGCTCGCTCGCCAATATTGCAACAAATCCCAAATGCTAGGCATGAACAACTTTTAAACTTTGCCAAACACACGCACATAATATGTTTGAATAGCGCCGATGTATCTGTGCGTTTGTGACTATGTGTATGCGTGTGTGGTTTGCATTATAAACATCGAAGCGTGGCAAGTTAAATTCTGAGAGAAATAAATTGTCTTTTCGGCCTAGTCTGGGCTCCATCTATCTGGTATGGGGAATGAGCAAAATCAAAAGCAATCATCTTGATATTTGCTCAGCGTACAGAGCCGCTGCCTTAGTTTTCCAACGAATACAGATAAAGGGAACGTTTATTTTGATTTCATGATGCTCCTAAAGTGTTTAGGACCGTTCAGGCAAAAAGATTTAACGTATTGCTTAAGTGATTACGAAATTTCCAATTTTTTAAACTAAACTAAACTATCCTAGTCGACACGCAGCTGGTACATACATAATGTAAATTAATATGAATAATTTGAGAATATTAATAGAAATTTTATTAAGTTCACATGTCTATTTACATTGATAAAAAACAAAAACATTGTATAAATATTTATATTTTTCTAGTTATGTTTCGTTTTTAATCAAAGAAAAATGCTTTTATTTGAGTGGGTGGATGAAAAGACTTTCACTTAGAATTTAATATTCAGCTAGGCAGTAATCAGTCGCCCACATTTTATGATATTTACTTTTTGTTCTTTTGACCTTTTCAGGTTTATGAAACAGTCACTGCCAGCACAAATCATGTGCGCTTATCTCTGCATATTATTTTTTATATTATTCATTTTCATTTATTTTAAAGTTAGAGCCAAGGTTGTGCGGCTCTTGTACTGTAGTCCAGCCTTACACATGATTGCCCGCATACAGATACAGATCCACAGACAGAGCTCTCTGCAGAGGCGCACTCATATATGTGGATGATGGAATAAAAGCCGTTGCTGAGCGCAATTCAATTGGAATTAAATTCAAGCAGCAGTAGCAGCAGCAGCAGCAGCAGCAGCAGCAGTAGTTGCCTTCAGCGCTGACTGCAGTTGTTGTTGTTGCGAGCCCATTGTCGGCCCCATTTTGAGCTTAGCGGCCCACTCTACTATCCCCTGTCTGTGTGGGTGCTTGGATTTCCTGCTGCTAGCCTGTATATATGTATATACACATTTTTATATATAAATACATGTATATGTCTATCATATTACATACATACATATATGTACATATATGATAAAGCTATGTTAGCGAACTTTGTAACTGTTTTGATTTCGTCCCGGGCTTACAAGCTGCATTTTTGCACCCATTGATGACAATGGTCAGATTTCCACTGCAATGCGATTTGCTCGCCTTGTTCTTGCTGTTGTTGTTGTTGTTGTTATTGCAACACAGTGTTTTTTATTGGATTTACTGTGTGTCAATATCCTGAAGCATTGTTGCGCGGACCACAGGCAACGTTGCCTGTTCGTTAGCGGTAATTACTGTCCTGAGCTACCGTTGCCTCGAACTTTGATATTTGTTTCGTTGCTCAGACGGCTATAATGTGGATGGAATTCATCATATTTTACACTCATGCCAGATTAATATGAAATATTCATTGATACGATATAAATTAATTTATTCAATTAACGGTCAATTATGCTATCGCAATGTTGTGACTGTAATGAATATGCAGTTAAGTGCAGCGCAGCCTTTTTATCATGCGCATATTGAATTTTCCAGCGAATCTATTTAATTAAAATATTTTTAATATTAATGCCTACCCAATGCTGCGTACCATGCAGACTTATTTAATATAAAATCCAGTAAGCTCTTGGCAGAGTCCCATAAATAAATGAGTAAGCCTCAGAAGTGTTCAATTCAGTTGGGAATCAAAACAGATGTTTGGCCGCTGAAAACTGTTCCGCACAAATTAGAGCAGCTACAAGCTCTAGATACAAAAGTCGTTGGATAGCTGAAATTAATTTCCTAAAAAAATGTGATACAATTAACGAAGAAACGTATAAAGGAATGCCCAAAATACCAAAGTACTTACATACATACATATAAAAATTGGAAAGTTTTACAAAACTGGTAATCCCGTTGTTATTGTACCCAAATTTTCTATTGCACCGTTAATAAATTGTGCCTCGAAGTTATTTACGCAAAGCAACCCATTGAAGCCGTAACCCAAATGCATAAATCACACGAAGGAAGCTTCAGCACAAAATGGTTTTGCGTTTGGGTTGATCGGGAGGCTCATTGTCGTCGCTGCTGGAAATGTAATTTCTGCTCATTGTTACCCAACAACTTTGGTCATTAGGTGGTCCAACCGCTTGCTCTCCCCTTTTATATTTCAAGACGATGTTAAATTGCACTTTTTCGCATTCGGTTGGCGCCGCCTCCAGTACCTTCAGTACACATGAACATACCGTAATTTATATTTAACTATGGCAAACAGAAGTGCCAACTCCCATCTGCCACTACCACCTTATCAACCAGAGCCAAACGCTGCGAGTATGGAAATTACAAAACGGTAGCAGCCATAAATTCAGATTCAAGAACTAAGCGGTTACAGATGCAGTTCCAGTTGCTGTATACCAAGCAGTCTCCTCTAGTTATTTACTACAAGTCGTACCTCCTCTGCGTGCTTTCTGCTTGAGTCTTCTTCTTCTTTTCCTTTAAGTTTCTGCTAATTGTTGTCGCTAGCTGTGTATGAACAACGCGTAGCGTCCTTGGGGTGCTAGGTGTTAGGTGTTGAGTCCGGAGGGCGTTTAATTTAGTCGCCAAATGACTATTAGTTATGAAATGATTATGCATCCACTGCTTGCTGGCAGCCGTGATTAATGAGCCATTAAACGTGATTCCGAGAAGGTTGGCAGCCAACGCGCTCCTTACAAAAAAAAAAGGAACATTTGCACGCGAATGTCTGTCACAACGGCACGCAAAATACTTGCACAATATCCCCATCTTCCACATAATCAAAGGGGAGCAGTCCCAAGACAAACATATTTTATGGCATTTTTATTGAAACACGTAAAACGCAAATTGAGCAACTCACAGCCAAGAAGTTGAGTGGCAAGGGCTGCATAATAATGGAAAGCCTAAACCCAACTTGGTTTGTAAAGAACGGGAATTGAATTTCATTGTATGCAAAAGGGTGTACAAGTTACATGCAATTAAAATCTTCAAACAACCACATACATATGTATGTACATTGATTATGAATCGATTCAGTTAAGAAAGTTAAGCCATGATCAAAAGCCATAAGCCATGACCATATAATACGAACGTCTCACAATTTACATACATACATACATACATACATACATACATACATACATACATACATACATACATA